ACATATATTGTGCGAAAGGTTCTCTCTCTTAGTCTTTGAAGAGGAACCTGAGTGTAGCAAGAACTTCTCACTATCTGTCTCACCATATGTGTTGACGTTCTATCCTTGAATTATATCTGGACACTCCAGACGAGCGTGAAATTTGAAAACGATATAATAATAATAATAATAATAATAATAATAATAATAATAATAATAATAATAATAGACGTCACCAGAAATGAGGACTTCAGGATGATGATGTTGCCTTTTCAACGGAGACTACGAAAGAAACGCGGGAGAGACATGACGATATACACCTTGCGTGTCCAAAAGGTGAACCGACGATATACACCTTGCGTGTCCAAAAGGTGAACCGGCGGGGCTTTAATGTGAGTGACGGACGGATGAACAGAGAGACACACGCAAGTTACTCGATTATTATGTGTAGGAATAGGAATATATACTTTTAAATATCTGCAATAATATATTATTTACGAGAACTATCTTAATATTTGTGATAAACATTGATAAATCATTAATTTTGAACAATTCACAAAAATTTGGTTTGTAAATGATCTATTTAATAACAGTGATATCAGATTATATTTTGGTTTTAGATTGGATTCATTTTTGGCAAAATTCAATGTCCTAAGTTGTAACACTTACCATAGGCCATAAGTGCAGCATGAAGGTACTAAAATAGTAAAGAGCTATGGCGACCGGTCCAAGAAAAACTTTATGAAAGAAATAGTTTATTAGTACATCCTGAGGAGAAGCGTCGTCTGAAAAAAGAAAAGAAAAGAATGAACATTTCTTGAAATGTGCGAAAATTTACATACAATACATTCCTCGTGAAAAAGAAGTTTTAAATGAAAGGACAATAATGCATCAATACGTGTTCGAAAGACAACCAGTCAGGAATGAAAATGTCGCTAAATATAATGGGTTACAACTTAACATTGTGTTGCAACGGGTCCGAACCCTGACTAAACGTTGAGGTGTATAGATGTGGAATGTCTTTCTGAGCCATCTGATCCCATGCTGCTATTCTCAATTCATCCCAATTATACTATACAATTAGACGCGTAATCGTCTGGCCCAAACGGCTGCGGTCACTTGGCGAGTAGTACTGAAAAGAGGTCACAGGTTTGAGTCACGTGTAGGCATGGTCGTGTGTTGAGGTTTCATTCACTTTTCAGCCCTTCGTGTATCACCTTGCATTCCTTGCCGACCTGGGTGACGGAGGATCTTGCAGGTGAGATACTTGCTAGTAGAGCTTGCATGATTGTGTTTGTAACAGGTTGCATTCCCAGCCTTCTCGCCTGCTCAGCACTTTGCACTTTCTTTGACCTTGAGAGCGCCGCGCTAGCCACTCAAGTGCACACGCGGAAAGATTTGAAGGGTGGGGATGAGGCAAGTTGTGGGTGTGGGGACCACCAATTAGAATGCGCAATTTGAACCGTAGCGCTTTAATCGACGAGAACATGACGTCACTTACAGTTCAAGTAATATTGCCTTTTATATTATATTGTAAATCTTTGTTGTCGCTATATGGCAATGTGAAATACGAAACTACAACGAATTATACATATTTGATTTAGACACCAAATATTATAATTTCCTTGTTTGCTTTGCTTCAATGTAATAACACATATAGTGTTTTACGAAACACAAAATTATGATACTGAGTTGTTTTTGCTTTATGATGACGGCAATAAACTATTTTTCATTAACTATGTTTAATTGAATAAGACCGTCCGCTCAAAGCATGTTATTGTTTAAAACATCATGATTATTTTCTGCTCTAATTTATGAAAAGAGTATATTATATATTTCTAATATCAAGTCAAAGAACACTATTTATTCATCATTTACGACATCATAAATATATGAAGCTCTTTGCATTCTATTTAACAAGACCTAAACTAATGTAATGATTGCCCTAATATAACATTAGAGAGGTTTGCGCGTTGATACCTTATATTCGGATTCATAATAAAGGGAAATAGTCACAATTATTATTATTATTATTATTATTATTATTATTATTAGCACGTTTAATCCCTATTAGGGCAAAGGCCTCTTTCACAGGGCAAGGCGGTTTTCATTATAAAGTTGGTGCTCGAGCAGCCACCTAAAAAACTGGTTTTAATGGATTTCTCCAATGCCTTACATTTTGTACGGTCTTTCGCAACTCTTGACTATTGATGACCTAGAAGTTGCCGGACGTCATTGGTCCATCTGTGATGTTGTTCCTCTTCCCTATTCGTGAGTCCCGGGAAGTAGTTCCAGATGTCCATCTGTAATCTTGGAGTCATGAAATGTGGTCTCCCCACATCCATTTTAGTTTATGAGCAGTCAGAATTACATCTTTTATTTGTGTTCTTCTTATTTCCTCATTTCTAATTTTATTTGTTAAAGATATTCGAAGAATTTTTCCTTGTCATAGACCAGGTTCGTGCACCCTACGTCAGAACTGGTAGAATACAGGTGTCAATTATGTGTCTGAAATGCGTCTATTCATTTACTTATCATTTTTCTTATTAAATGATATTGTTTGTCCAAGATAGATATATTCTTGAGTGTATTCTATTATTTTGTTCTGTATTGTTATTTCTTTCTCTTCTATTTGTCATAATTTTTGTTTTGCCAAAGTTTATTTTTAACCCCATTTTCTTTCTGTGTGTATTTCATTTTTGAAGGGTAGTTTGTATTTCTTGACGTGTGTTAGGTCACAAATATATGTGCTGCTTAATATTACTCTTCTTTCAATTGCCTACATTCCATTTTTATGTCCATCATGATGTGAGAGGTGAAAGGATTATAAGACGTTCTCATAATTATCTTCATTTTGCTGTACTTTGGAGATTATAACATTTCTGGTGAGCAATAAATTACTAAATTATAAATCTTTGATACTTAGAATTATATAATAAAGTTTTAAAAAAGGTCACTTCTTTAAGAGTCACAATGACCTAATCAACTAAAACTATTACATACAGTAGTGGATGCAAAGCTGGCTACGCAGCAGTGTACAGAAGAAGGTAAACAGTGAATTACCGTCCTTGTAGCTTAAAAGACAGGCCATAGCCCTTTTAAATAAGTGGTAAAATGATTTCACAGCATAGATCATGGCATTAGATGCCCCGTCATTGAATCTACGCGCCGATTCGTGCATCGCCAGTCGTCCCCCCTCACCGAAAAGCTTCCTACCTCCGCCAGCTGCACTTTCGGCGAAATCGCAGGTAGACGGTTGGTTCGGAAGTGAAGAATGCCCGCAGGCCTGCCGCACTTCATGAATATCATGATCAACAACGGTTTTGCCAAAGACATACTTTTGAATGTGTCTATAGTATTTTTACATGAGAAATGCAGCACTACTATCAAAATCAAATATAGTATTGGGTATATTCTTATCAACTTTTGTGTTAAATTGTTTTTGATTGTAATTATTGGCTGTTATTGTTTCTTACTATGAAGATGATGAATATGGCCTACCTATCTGCGTTAAGTTCTTGTTTTATCAGAGGGTGGGGGGGGGCATGGTCCTGACAGGAGTTGTACACATGACGCGACATATAAGTTTTGTGTTTCTAGAGATGTGGTTATGATGTATTCAAAACGCCCGCATTGGCATAAATACTCCCAAAGGCCCGCAAAGGTATTAAATGTACCATTACGTGTTTTGTTTCACGTCCGTAAACAGAAGCGCACAGCGGTGCGCGGTGGCAGGAGACTCACGCGGTTTCCAGATGGCTTCGATGCGCGCGTTGAGGTGGGTGGCGAGGCAGCCGATGATGGAGTAGTTGGCGGACGTCAGGGCAAAGGCCGAGAGGAACGTGAAGCTCATGATGAGCGCCGTGTCGTTCCAGCGGTTGGTGCGAAACAGCAGCCCCGCGGCCACGTTGCAATTGGTGGGCAGCCCCCACGACGCGATGTCCACGGCCACCACAAAAGCCACGAACCACAACTGTAACGAGACCACTCGGCGCTCGCAAGGGTTCTCACCCACAATTTACAAACAATACGGAAAGTTGTGAATATAGCAAGAGAAATCTCTGATGCATCGAAAGGTTTGATCTTGAGGAATTTTTCTCAATAGAAAAAAAACAAGTAGTTCTTAAAACAAAGTTTTAAACCAAATTAACTTTTAACTTTGTTTATTAGTGACAGTAGCATCGTTGTTCGTCTTTATTTCGCGACCGCTCTTCGGTCATTTGCCTTGGAATGAGGGTCCGGCGCCCACCCACACGTCGCATGACGACGCTTCCCCCACGCAGGTGCCAGCGTCGCACTGTTGATAAGGTGGAAATAACGGCAGAGGCCATTAGGTATTTAAACGTTGGAAAATGTGAGTGCGGCGAGCGACTGCGAGGTGTAGGGACGTGTTAACACCCTGGATCTGAGTTCGAGCGTCAGCGTGGAGAAGTTTAAGGGGAGGTTGAAAACACCTTTGTGCTGTTTTCGCTGTTGCAGCTCCTAGTTTGTGATTTCTTCAGCTTCTTGTTAAAAACTGGCCGACGGCATTCTCGCGATTTTTCTTTCGGATGATGGCCTCTAACTCCCTGCAGTTCCATTCCTGAGTATCCCACCAGGCAGTCGTGTGTCTTAAGCCTTCCGCAATATGAACGTTCTTTCAACACCTATCGCTTCTTCTTATTCAGAACATTTAAATATGTGACCTTATCTTCACATCACTACAGTCATTTGGTTCCTACGTCGAAGATATTTAACTGAGACCTGCCATTCCATATTTTAAAATAACTGATGGTTCGTTGAATTTAGATGTGTAGTGTATTTAGAAGTATGGAACTTCATGAAAGTTGTTTTTAATCGATAGGTTATCTCTTAAGAATACTGCCTTGCAAATCAGAATATTGTTCCGTAAATGTACGATATAATTCTACGGTACTTACTTCAAAATCTGCGAAGTTGTAACCTTCTACACCAATAAGAATGGAGAGTGCTTCAAATGATTTCCCTCCGCAGAATATGAGCATTAACACACTCAACATAATATGAAGCACCATTACCCCAAGGAGAGTCCACATTATTTCCTGAACAGACAAGAATATACAGGATATGTGAGAACTCCGTACTATACAATCGCTCTTGTACCGTTTTTTAGTACTTATTTTTTCTTACTTGTTTAGAACAAGTACAAGTACCGAAATAAAATAGAAGTACTACTCATTTAGGACACTCTTGTGTAATAACTGGTGATTTACTACGGTAGCAAAAATACTAAAAGATTCTGGAAGTGCATAAAAACGGTATATTATAGTCAACATTTGCCCTGAAAGAAGATATGAAATGTTTGAAAGAAACCAAACTTTTAAGAATTGTTCTCCAACACAAGCACAAACAACATTTCAATGTTACCAAGGTAGTTATTTACGTATATTATACCGAATGTTTCACCGATATAGGTACAATATACCGAAAATCTTAAACATGCGTTTTAGAATCGATATTCGAGACCATATTGTTGAGGCGATTCTTCCCCACATTACAGTACAGGGAGGAAAAGTAAATATTCATAAAGACCGTTGTTAAGTACTAAATTTGAATGCTCACCTGAACAAATGCTCGTAGACCCTTGTGACTTATGTAAGCCACAACAACCCAGTGAAAAATCAAAGCTATCATTTCTAGAGCCGAATATGCATGTCTTTTTCCACAATCACTCCTAGAAACAAACAAGTTTTATCATTTCAATAATTTAAATGTATTTATCAACGTTGTATTGTTCCTGAAGTAGATCAGTCCTAGAAAACTCTAATGTATTGACAACGCGGAAAGAAGAAAATATTTCTTATTCTTCTTTGTGTTACTTTGCATACTGGACGTACTCAAAATGTTCTGATTTTAACATTTCAAAAATTATAAATGAGTTTATTTCAAAATATATCTTTAAAGATTTCATTATGACAAAAAAACCTCTCTCTTCAATATTTTAGTCTAGGAGGTATCAATAAGTTACCAAAAAATTGAAATTATGAAATTTACGAAAAATCACGGATTTCAAAGAAAAAGAGACCTGCCCCTTCTCTTAAGCCATCTTCACATTATTCGACAACAAAATGTTATCAAAAAAATTGAACCCATTTTTTTGAAAATTTTGAAAATGTTCTGCGGTCTCAAGTAAAGTACCTTCTTCAAATGTCGGTTTGAAATTATAGGGGCTGCGAAAACAACAAGATCGATTGGGGAATACCAATTTTGGAGAAAATCGGTTGAACAGTTTAGGCGCTAGTGTTGATCACAGATAGACGTTTTGTCATCAATCAATTTTTCGGTAATTTACAACATCTAGCAGAGACGTGCGGCCATTACTTTGTACATTCCTTCTAGCGGCCACCCAACAACACATCGCGAACACTACAATGGATCACCAATGCGTAACGCACTGCCCTGACACGCACATTGTATCTCTAAGAATAATACACTGTGCTATTCACAAAATGGAGGGTTCTAGAGATCAGATCACATGTGAGTCAGAACTTCATTCCAAAAAAGAAAAAAAATCTCTGAATACTGAACGTTCTGGTTTAGTCTCATTACATTGAGAGAGAAATATGTGTCCCGTATTCATTTTATAAGTTATAAAATGCTCGTCAAACGGTACGTCAAATTATACTAACAAAACATTCCATTTACAATAATTTTGCATTGTGGTAGCACTGTCTTATGAGTAATCACGTTCGCAGACAGGATGAGCAAGTCGAGACCTGGCCTTGAAGCAGCAGGAGGGAGAGAAACGTGGTCCATCTCGAGCTAGCTAGGGTTCAGTTCGTATCGCTGCCTGCCTCTGGCCCAGGCCTACCGAAGATGTCAGAGCTCGGGTTAGAACACAGCAGAAGCAGTAGACCGCAGCACCGAGACGAGTAGCAGTACAGTGCACAATGAATGCAATACTTTTGATCATACGATATACGGTTCATTGTCATTTTAATTCTCAAAATTTCTCAAATTCTCATTTCTGCGCAGCCAGAAGAGCTGGGGTTGCGGTGGTTGAATGCACGCCACTGATATTTAGGAGCAAGATTTATCCCCATTTTCATAATAGGGCTCGGCAATAACATGTTTTTATGTGGAAACTTCACAGTTTTCCTGCCCAAGATTACAATAATTTATCCTCTTATATTCGCAAGAGCGAGAAAGAAAACTAGTGGTTCTACAGAATGGCACTGACTTTCTCGTATTAGTTCATTTTCTTATTTCTTTGGTCTGGGCCAGTTTTACAATCTTGCCACAAACTCTTTGCAACTGCCATCTATCGCCTACTAATTTTTTTTCACAGTATTTTAAATTTTTCGGTCTCCTAATGGTAGAACCGAAATATTACTTTGCGAATATTAAAGAAGAGTAAAACTTCGTTCTAAATGACAATTTTCTTTGAAAAATTTGAAACTTTTCTAAGGAAAATTGTGTTTAAGCGGTACCGTAAATGCGAAATTTGAAACTCTTTTGAGCTTTCCAAAAATTTATGTAAAGCACTTCCACCCGCAAATGCAATAATGTATACTCGTGGCTGGAAATGCGCTTATTAAAGACGTGAGAGAAATTAAAATTTGATTTGTATATTTTAAAAAATATACAGAAAAAGTAAATTTATAACATCTTAAATGGTGCAATTAACACTAATCCTACGAAAATTTGAAGAAAAAACGGAGCCTTTTTTTAGAAAATGGAGTTTGAGTGTTTCTGAAAATGTGGACTTATGAGCTAGTTTTCACAGAAAACTTTTGAGTTTTAGAAGAACTTAATATTACATCATTTTAAGCACATTTTCTCGTAAATTCAACAATGTTCAAAAATCGCCGCTAATGCAAATATCGATGTGAGAGAGAAGTAAAAAAATATTTTAGTATTTTTTGACAAATAACAGAATAGAGCAATATGGTGCTTATATCGTCTTATAGAACACATTAGCACTAACACTACCACTACCAAGAGCTTTTGTAGTAAAAGGTAAGGCAATATCTGGCATGTAGAGCCATATTTGAGAGAATTTTGAAAATGTCCCAGGGACTTCATGTAAAGTTCCCCAAACATCAATAACTTTTTTCAAAATCGCAGAGCTTCGACTCAGACCAGATGGACAGAGGTTTCTTCAATTTGAAAAAAATTCGACGCATAATTTAGGCTCTAGTGTTGTTCACATACATGAGACGGACAGACAGGCAGACGGACAGACGGACAGACGGACTGACGTTTTGCCGTCAGTCATTATTTCGGTAACAACAACCCACAAGACATGAATTCTGGCTACAATACGTGTTAAGAGGATTTTTCAGCATTTAGCAATTATTTGTTTACTTTTTCTGTTGTCAGGGCCCGGCAATTGGAGTTTTTTTTACGAAAATTCGCCGTTTTTTCAAGCTGCATTACATACAAGTAACTTTCTATCCACTGCGTAAACGATGGCGAGGAATTAAAAGAAAAACCGATGTTGAATTGTTACAAAGTGGGGCATTGATATTGTTTTGAGTACTCATCCAGATAACACTTTGCTACCACGTAAGTATAATGAATGTGTTGAAACAGCGATTAATTATTTATTTATAAACTACAAAAAAATCAATAAAGGATTTCTCTAAAATGATCTCAAATAATGGCAATTAGTTTGAATCGTGGTAGTATTCTTCTCCTCTTAAATCATTTTTTCAAACTTGAAAATTATATCTGCTCGAATTTAATTTTGTTTCCGAGAACAAGCGCTACATAGAGAGGGTACCCTACAAAACTGTGAAGAATAACCAAAATGGTATCGATTTTATTTTGTAAATTAACGACCAAAATGGTCCCATTCTGTAAATTGACTACCAAAATTATAATGATCTGTTTTGTACATTAACGACCTATGAGTCACTCCGCGTCAAATTGCACAAATTTAAGAAAATTTGTCCTTGATATTCCAGATTTTTGAACTTTTTTCTAGGAAGAGTAGAAACAAACATTTGAAACACATGGTTTTATTTTTTGCAAAATTGTTTCGAGACAATATTAACTTTCAGAAAGATAACTGATTGTAACTCGTGTTGTAATTGTAACAGGAATTTAATATTTTGCAAATTTTGCAAATAAAGAAGCAAATATGCTGTCTATTGAATTCATTTTTTTTAAATTAAGTTTTTGACTTATTTTAATTTTATTTTTTCTTTCCCGTATACGTACGTATATACTGAGCAATATACGTAGTATAAGGAAAGATATGTAATATTGGGGAAAATCGAAATCGAGATATCAACGGATATACACGTTTAGGGGCCCCAGATACCGAAAAAGTCTTTTTTTTTCAAAACGTCCATCCGTCTGACCATCCATCTGTTGACACCACTAGCAGCTAAACCGTTGGCCGGAAATGAACGAATTTGCGACACAAAAACTCTCATTGCCGGGCCCTGGTAAGGAAAAGCGGATAAATTCAGTTGCTAAGCGTGGGAAAAAATCTCTAACACGTAGTGTAGCCAGAACAATGTTTTGTGGGTTCTTGATACCGAAAAATTGATTTATGGCAACACGTCTGTATCTGTCCATTTGTGCACAACGCTAGCGCACACGCTAGCGCAACGCTAACTGTTCAGCCAATTTTCTCCAAAATTGATATTTGCCAATCGATCTGGCTGATGACGCGGCCTCTGGAATTTAAAATCGACATTTCAATTTTGGGGGTACTTAACATGAAGCCAGAATAGTACAGGTCTCATATTCGGTAATATTCCCGATTTTTCAAAACTTGCAGAATAAAAATAATACACTACAAAATTGAAGATACAGATTTTTGTATCAGACATGACTAATACAAAATCAAGCCTTTAAAAAGGTCATGTGCAAAATTTAGTATTTAGTAAATAGAAGTTAGTAGTTTTTTTGTAATTTACTCTTGAAACTTACAAAACATTTTTTCAAACACCGCCCCAATTTTTTTCTTTAAGTTTTTTCTACATATATAATAAGGGACGGTAAGAAATGTGATGCTAACCCCTTTTTCGGGTATGTATCGGTTTATTCGAAAATTGCCAAAAGAATTTCTTAAAGTATAAAATTGAAGATAGAGATTTTGGCTCAAAGACTGTTA